AGATGCTACCAGCAGATCTGCTTAGCGGCAACGTTGTGATCGAGACCAAGTTTTACGACGCAGACCTTTTGGTCAGTACCTCGAAGGTGCGTGTCTACTACGTTTAACGAAGCGATGACCACACTGTTTGCTGCAGCCGTATGGTCACGTCTACTGCTGTAAGCAGAAGGGCAAAAATGGTGTTAATGCGCTGAATTTCTTATCAAAAACAGCATCATTATCATTCAACTTGGTTATGCTTCGTGTCTACGGAACGCCGAGTAGTACGACGGACTTTCAACATTTTATTGTTTATGCACAGCTTCAAAACACATCTAAATGTTGCTGATAAACAATCAACGTCTATCTATAACTCTGCAGTGTCTTCCTTTTTGGCATTAATAAACGTTACCTTGTGACGGACAGCAGGAAATTACGATCAGGACACAATCATCACATCATGTGTATAAAGTCTTCGACATTTTGACGTATTCTGTCCGCCCGGTAGTTTTCGTATTCCACCCACTTTGCTTTTACCGGCACGTAATACCATGCTTTATAGTCTCCCCTTTCGAATACCAGGTGTTTCACCCGTTGTTCTTCCAACCTGCAAATCTTCAGCTTTACAGATCAGTCGTTAAAACTAATTAAAATACGCACTTTCATGCTTCGACAAAGTATCAGGTTAAAGGACGTGACCTCTGCCTTATATGACACTAAGAAAAGATGGATAGGTCAAGTGGTTCGCTTGAGGGACAACCACGAATATTAGCAATTATGAATTCATTGACTCCGTTGGGAAATGAACATTCCCCTCGGTCGTCTTCATCGTGTTAGGAACACCAGATAATGAAATTACTTGATCAGCACGAAGACAGAGAGCAATATATAAAGTTAGATGAGGACATCAGACAAAAATAAGTCGGCTGAAGGCTACGCTGAAGTGCTCATGACCATGTACATAACTTCAATAATCCTCATTGCCAAAATTCGCAGTCGTGGCTGGAAGCAGAAATAGTTTCAGTACATTAACGACAATAATAACAATAGACTAATCCTTGTACGGGGATCTCTCTTGTGCGAGATGTCGCCACATACTTCCACCTCTCTTTTACCTCATCATCTTATCGGAAGCAAGATCTTGGGATTGAGCAATTGCAGCCCCTTGGGTACCAACCCTTCCCTGCTGACATTCATCTGTCATCCGTTAGTCACCTGATGCAGTCCGCCGTAATCTGACTTGAGATGTACGCATGGGCTGATTTGATGTTTTAAATTTTATTCGATCTTGACAAATGGATTTGGCTACTGACAACACTTGCCAAAAGATCCGCTTGCCCTTCACGTGGACCTAATGAGACTACGTGAAACCTGCTTAGCTTCGAGTCCTTTTTGGTCAGCTGTGGCATGGACATCTCCTCTGGGGCAGTTTCTCCTCCGCATCACGGAACGACGCCTCATCTCACAGGATTTCAGTACAAAGGACATATAATGCCGTTGGCTTTAAAATCACAACATACCTTGTAAAAAATGCACATTTTAGCATTAGAAATTAAAAGGAGTAAGTAATTTACTAATGTCATTAAACGGAACAGATTTTCATAAAAACGAAATATTAATGACTTACGCCCAAAGGCGCTTCTGATTCAGGAAACTGATCTTCGACAGAAACTTTTCATGGTCTCTCTGCGGACTCGTGTAATAGTATTTGGCAAACCATTGACTCAGCGGATGCTAAAAGAACGCAATGAATGCTGAAACAAAACAAAAGTGAATAAGTACTCTTATTAACGAATATCGAATAAATACAAACTGCAATGCATCAGTTATCATCTGAGATTACCCGAGAAAACTGAATGCCGAAGTGACCATCACTGGTGAGATTGCAGGCTATTCAAATCTATGGTAACATTCTTGCTCGCCTTTAATTCTCCAAAGAAAAACCGATGAGTTTTATGGGTAAGTATGCATGGAAAAGAAGCGGAAAGTTACTTGCTGTGCTTATCAGAGCTATATTAATTATCCTATGATAACAAATAATGCACTGCGGACTCATGAGTCCAAAAATCAATACTGCATCATAGGTTCCATGAAAGAAAGGATTAAGAACATAAGCATGGTTTAATAAAAAATGAAAACAATCTGTTCATCCGGGTAGCAGGTCACTACCTGCGTTTTGATCCGTTGTGATCTGCCCTTGCGGACTTTCTCTACGAACGTAGCTGGATTTCGTTGTTTTTGTTGTTGTTTAGAGACGCAGGATGGCGTCCAGCCGTAAGATACTGTCAGCACAAGCTGCACCTCTAATTGTTTCTTTGACAAATTGCTGACAGACACGACAAGGCTAAAAACAGCACAGAGTTCACACTCTTTGTCACAGGACTGGACGACTAATGCATTTGTGACCCGCTTGCTCAGCCGGTTTCTTTCGCTGATGATGATTGCGTATGCTTTGAATGTCAGCGTGCATTTCTGAGTCATATGCAGCTGCAAGATCCTAGCTCTTTTCACATTAAATCTTAATCTGGGAGGAGGGAAAGCTTTACCAATTTCTGACCGGGTTACTTACTTTGGTCATGTAGCTTGAGTTCATCGGTCATCATATTTCTTCCAACTGGTAAGTTTTTTGAAGAACAGTGCTTTCGACTTTTCAGAGTCAAACTCTCGGTACAGATCTAGTCATAAAAATGTGAAGGGTCAACCAAATAAGGTATCCTCTTAAGCATCTTCAGA